CCCACATAGTTTTGGTCATTTAGCCACCAATTCACATATCGTATTATCTCATACATTGATCTAGACCCATGACCCCAGTTACCTTAGGAGTCGCTCCAAATTTTAGTAAAGCATGCCCACTGGATAGTGAATTATACATTAAGAGGTTACTCGAGCAGACTAAATTTTCAAGACACTACCCTAAATTGAGTTTAGCAATTATGCTCGTCCATCTTGTTGCTTAGTTCTCCCTTGAGAAGGGTCATACTGCCCTATCCCTATGTGGGGGACCTCTCCTCTTAGTCCATTGGGCCGATTGAACAATGGTGTCCCATAGGTTGAAGATATTAGTTTCATTGGTTGTGCAATCCCAGCTTTGTGCCTTGTTTCCACAGTGGGGGAGGCGAGTCACGGCAAAGTTGCCCCAGACTTTTGCAGTATCACTCTAGTTCGTCCTTGGTTAAGTGTCCATTTTACCACTTTTAATGTGATGAGGATGTGTCCCGCCCTTCTGCGGCACTATAGTGTTGAAGTAGTGCTGATGTCTGCCGCAACGCTGAAATATTATCATGACACTGTTGTCCGAACTAATTCTGTTGGACCCCCACTGTCATATAAGTTATCGACTCTAGTCATTTGTTCTCTTATAATATGGACACGTGTCTTGAATTTATTGGATAATAAAATAGGAAATATTCGGACCACATTTTTAACAACACAAATCACATTTTGTCAAATAATATAAAGTTATGTTATGAGATTCGAAAATGAGATCTATGATAATCCTTTAAATATTCAACCTTATCCTTCGTACTATGAAAAACAATGTTATTTTCTCAAAACCCCATCATTTTCATTACACTCGAATAATTGATGATTAAAGTCCACAAAAACTAGAAAAGTCAGGATTGTGTTACTTGGTTAGCAGGGCAACATTGCCAACCTATAATTGAAAAAGGACAAGAAGATATTTCAATAATATGGTGGTTGTGAATGCCTTATCAGGTGGGTGTGTGATTATGGTTATGGTTATACTTATTTATTAATATAAATTTAATTATTGACCGACTGCTCGTCATTCTTCAACCTCCATTATTCAATTCACAGCAGAACAAAAGTTCACTTGTAGTGTGTCGGCCGCTAAAATTCTATGTAAGTCCCTAAATAACTTTATCTAAATCGCGTCATTCTTGCTCAACCTCTATTTGTACCTATCACTCAAGATTGTTAGATTAGGTGTTTAAATTTGAATCAACTATTGCCTCAAACTTAATGATTGACCACCGTAATTTGAATTGTATTAGAACATATCCTAAGTGCCTATTTGGTATGTGAGTTTGAAAAGATTTTGAAACATGAGTTGAAGAATAAACTCCCTCAAACTCACGTTTGACAAATACACATGTAGTCTAGGGTTTGAAACTCAGCCCGATCATGAAACCCAAGTTTATGGGTTTCATGAAACTCACGGGGGCGTGGGTTTCATATGTGGGTTAGTGGATTTAACATACAAATGACATTTATACCCTCATATATCTTATATACTCCATATAAATAAATTGATTAAGGAACACAAGTCATTTAAATAAAAATATATTATCATAATAATCATATATCCCTGGGCATATCAAATATGAGTATGAACAACATTAAATATTGAATATCATCTTTGGGTTTGGACAAGTCAATCCAAATTCCTCCCAAAAAACATATCAAACAGCCCCTAAAAGGACAAAAATGACCGATCTCACATGATACTTAGATATCACGAGTGTAAACCAGTGACTCTACTGATGACTCAGTTAATAGAACTGCAATTTTATTCAGTGACGAAATTGTCACTGGATTTGGAGCAATTATGCATACCAATCCGATTGAATAATGTCATGGGCTGAGCTTATAACACTGTTTATCATTTTACCTCCCTCAAACCCCGTTACATTCAAGAGTCTACACCAGTTTGGATCTATTGACTTGTCACATGTAAAAATAACTGGTTAGGCAGTACATGACCGGGAAGAATGAAATTGATCTTTGAAACCCTGGGAAACGATAAGTGTGTATTTTTGTTGGCAAGCAGGTGAGTGGGGTACAAGACTTCACATGTCGGTGTTCGACGATTAATATGCTTTTCACAACCAAGCCACTAAACACCTTCAGATTATAGAGTTAAAGCCACATGTTAGATAGAGCAAAGTGATTGGAACCGACACTAGATGTGCAACATGGTAAAGCAGGAAAAAAGGGACAAGAAACTGTGAATATTCCAACATAGCAACTTGTTTTGAATTTCTTTCCCTACTGAACAAAAGCATTGACGGAACCCAAAGACACAAGTGCAGAATTTGTCTGCTTCCAAGAGAATGTAGAAGCTGACTACCATCCCTGGTTCTGAATTATAGTTCAAACATAAACACTTCTGCCAGGCAAATAGCAGGTTTAAGCGCTAGGGATTCGAAGTACGGAAACAAACAATGATTGAGCAGAATGTCCCTCAAACAATCCGCTCCAACTCCCTTGCATAACTCAGTGTCTGATTGATGAGTTGCAAAGACGGTATCTCCTTGCAAGGTGCAGATTCTTTTGCCCTTTGAAAAATTACAAATCCATTCTTTAACTCCCACTCAGGGTGCTCCTGCAAACCACAAGATACTATAATGCTCAGGAATGGTCCATTTACCGCGTTATCATTCAAAGCAATGATAATATGCTTAAAAGGAAATAATGAATAATAAAGAAAGTATTAAATCCGAACTCAACCTCTCCAATAAACCAATATGATTTCAAGTAGGTTCCAAAAAGTATTCCAATAAAGATGAAGTATGCCGCAAAGGTATGATGTATGCATATTTTAAAGTCCTTGGCAAATAACCAAACACAATTTACAATCAAGAAATATTTCAGAAAGAGAGAGAGAAGGGGGTGGGGGGAATGCAGGAAATTTTAAAGCAAAGGAGAAAACCAAAGATGACTGACTGATCAATACCACCCTTCTCATGCAAATCATCAAGACAAGATTAGTATGTGCTAAATTTAATTGACTAATAAGTCTCAAAAAATGCAAAAAAATTTACCTCCTTGACATATTCAAGAAGTTCTTGGTCTGAAGAGAACAGCAACATTTGTCTGCAATCATTAATTGAAAGAGAATCATATGCCTTCTCACCACATCCAGCAATCTCGTCCCTAACAAAAGCAAAGGAAAAAAAACTACTAAGCACATAAAACAAACAGCATTTTTTTAGGTAACTTATCATAAGACTATAAATTCAACTACAACTGGCCACTAACAATCTCCTTAGAAGGATGTGATAAGTTGTGCCACTACAACAGAATCCCATTTCCAGTAAAATTAATGAAATTGAAGATGATGGCTAGTACGCTAGTCCCATACCACTTCTTGCTATGCGAACTTTAGTCAAATCCTTTGAATATTGCATAATTTTGGGATCAACTAATTACCTGACTGTCTTTGCCAGTAGATCCATGAAATAAACGTATGTTTCGTGAGGGACTGTCTGTCTAGCACTCAAGACACGATTGTAAGCTCCTTCCATAAAGGATTGCTCTAATTCCACATCATGTTTGATACAAGGATTCTCCAGAGCAGTGGCAGAAAGCAACTCCAATTCTGTGTGGAATTCAGCAATTCTATTCTGCACAAGAAGTCTCAAAAGGTTGAGACCTAAGATGGGGTACTCCTGAGGGGATGATGGAATACGTCCACTGGTCCATCAAAAGAAACAGAAGTCACAAACATACCTTTTCATTTCAGGAGTTGTGCAAGCAAATAAGAGTAAGTGTTTGAAAAAAAAGATCACCAGCAACTACATTCCTCACACGCAATGAGGTTCTGTTTTAAACATACCTCCCTTAATTTACATGTAGGCATAACATACAGTATATATACACATCAACAAAGACAATTCACGAATACATAAAATAATAAGATATGCAACTAGAAATTAAAGAAAAGCTTCCCTACATAATCACAAAACACAATCAGTTGAAAGATTGTACAACTATCTATTCAAAGCTAGTCCAACACATATTAAAATGTCACATTTCATAAGCCTTTGTTCTGGTGTGAGACACGTGGGAGGATGCACCCACTTGTTCCTTGAGGTGCATGCACAAACATACATCACATATTTAATCATGTCCCATCATCTACATGAGTTATTGTCATTGGATGACTCATATCCATTGTAGCACTCCTTCATGTCCAATGTTCGGGTAAGTCAATTTAGATGAACATTTATACAGTTAAAAAGTAAAATTCAATGAACCTGCCATTTCATAATATGTTTTCATCCACACTGTAAAGTTAGTTTAATATACATGCTGGCAGCATGGGTAACTTAAATGGAGAGATTTTGCTTTTTGCCTAATTAATCTAACTGCCTGTCGTGATTGAAATGGAAGCAAAACTTCAACTAGCAAAAAGGAAAATCGAAACATCCCATCTCATAGTGGTGTTAAATAAAAAATAATCAAAATGTGAAAAACTGACATCCAACATAAATCAGAACATCATCAGCAATTAAGTAAAGTAGTCTTCTGAAATTATTTAACCACGGGAGAAACGGACATGTTTAGAAATATTTTATTCAACCAAAACTTTAGAGTTTTGCTATAGTGCATGGATTTTGTTTAATTGACTAAAGCTAAAGACAAGGAAAGTTACCATGCATCTGTATAGTAAGGTTTCAGCTGGAAAAAATCCCTCTCAAAGGCATCCTGATCCTCGGTCTTCACACTAAGAAGAACTGCATGCTCATATATATCCCCTGGAAATTTTTGAAGAAATACACATTGCCAGTGGGAAAAATTAAGGTTTGAGGGAACATAAATAATGATGCCAGAAAAAATAGATGTTCTTCAATTTTACGCTATTTCAATATCCTCTAGGGTAGATATTAAACTCTAGATAAGCTGCAAACAGCATGCCTCATGCCACCATTATGTTCATGATCATGTTTGATAGATAAATAACAACTGGTCATTAAAAAATCTGTAACCAATGAACCTTTGAATTATGAAGTCCATAAGATAACAATTGGTACTCCATTCCCCACAAAGTATCCACCTAATGGGCAGCGCAAATCTTTGGCGTTATGTGTGTGTGAATAGGAGTGATAAAGCTTGTGGTTTTAATTAAAGATACAGCTCTCATGCGTTACAGCAGCAAAGCAGGAGTTGCACTGCCAACTACTTTTGCACGCAGTAGGATACACACATACATTTAAAGGTTGATATATTCTTGGTTCGAGAAAACTGCTTTCACCCTTGTGTCTACTCCAATGTGTCATGATGAAATTGATTTTCTTTTCTTGTTTTTTTGTCCTTTTCTTTCTTTGCCGCCACCTCTCATTAGACATTTACTTCCCCTTGCCCTGAAAAAGGAAAATGTCCTCCCATTCTCTCATGTCTAGTGACAGCAAAGAGAATCATCAGGATCAAGCCTTCCTACTGTGGACAATACATTGTTCAGACAATTTGCACATCCACAATAGGCAATAAAAGAAACTGCAATTATTTTAGATCCCAGGTGATTATGCATGTCCACGGCAACATGAATACATAGTTAACAATTGGAAAAATAAAGTTAAGAAACTGCAAAGAAGATATGCAATAAATGGGTTTTTGTTTCTCTGTGTCTAACACTCCCTCTCACATACATACACAGCCCAATATGACACGAAGTACGTGCATTAAGAGAAAAGAGGTTTCTATAAACTTCCAACAAAAATGACAAAGAAAAGAGTCAAAGTGAAGAACATTACTTGCTACTGTCAACTCATGAAGCGCATTAGGTGTTTCTTCAAATAAAGGAGGAAGACTTTTAAATTCTGTCAGAGAAACCTGCAAACAAAAAACACGATTGATACACACCATATGGTAATACCAAGGTCTAAAGATATAAATACATAACCTTACAACTTTTTCCAATAAGATCCTTACAATTCTCAGTAATATTATTTTTACAATAGTTCCGTTAATCCAATAGTATAATCTAGCAACATTCTTAGTGCGTAGAACTCCACCAAGATCCAAAGATCTGCATTTCTCCGATTTCCTTTTCTTTCTGCATATTTCCAACCGTGCTCTATTTCCCCATACTTAAGATGTCTTTTACAATCACTGCTTCCTTAGACTAACAGCCAGGGAATAGGATATCCATACTACAAAAATAATATCTACCACAATGAAGTAGAGAATAAAGCCTGAGTTTCACATCCTCAACCAAAATACCTTTTTTTATTTTCAGTTCTGAAAGGATATAATTAAACAATTCAACTGCAAATCTTCCTCATAAATGTTTCAGTGTAAGTACTCTCGTGCTTTGCTTCCACACCACAGCCCAGTAAAAAATAGTATTTTGGAGCAGTACCAAATTCATTGCCAACTCCTAAATCTACAGTCCATGATTAGGGAATCACGAAAAACGACTCAAGCAATTCCATAAACTAATAAGTCCAAACACAATCTGCAATTCTTCTTCGTGATCCATAGATCAAACGCCACATGTTATTCTTCATTACACAATAATTCGCAGTGAAATGTTTAAATGTTATAGGTTGCTTGAGACTCGAATCAAGAATGTTATCCTATAGCACTGAACTCAACAAACAGTAGTACCAAAAAAAAATCAACGCAATGCAGAAAAAAATTATGGCATTAAAAAATGACCTAGCTAGATTAGGCAGTGGTGGATCCCTCGAATACAAAATTAACATGATACAGGAAAAATTATAGCATTCGATTGGATAAGGTTGTTTCAATTAAAATAAGATTCAGAATACGGAGACCTGTTACCAAAGAACATCAAGAACTGAATAATTAGGGTTTTGAAAGTGGTTACAATGGTTAAGTTTTTTGGAAGGGATTTACCGTTACCTTGAGTTGAGAGAGGAGTTTTGCACAGGTATCAAAATCGTTCCGTACGAAAGCGGCTTTGAATCGCTCGAACAGTTGCGAAACCTCCGTCAGCTTTGGATCCATCTCTCTCCCTCTCTCAGTTGGGAGTCAGCCGTTGCTTGGCTACCCTTCTTTGGCTACAAGAAACTTGACAGCACAGACTATTTTTCTAGGTTATATAGTTAGCCGATGGACAGTTCGGATGCAGAAGGTTTTGTATTTTAGGTATTCAAAAAATGTATTTTTTTATTTTAATTATTTAGTTTTTTAATACATACTTTAATAAATTTTTTATATTTTAACTATTTTTTTTAAATATTAATTTTCATATCTTGTCCTTTTGTTGAAATTATTTTAGGAAAAGAAAAAAAAATAGAGAAAATAAAAAAGAAAAAAAAAGAGAGAAAGATAAAGGGAGGATAAGAAAGGTGGAAAATGACAAAAGACATAGAGAATATATTATAAATTATTTATATATAATATTATATTAATTATTTTAAAGTTTTAGTCATTCTCGTGGAGATACTCTCGTGCAGCCAGTGTCGTTTTAGTGCGAAACTGTGTCGTGCATAAATAATATCGTTTTAGTTTGAAATGACGTTATTTTGGCTAAAAAATTTAACAATAGAGGATCTAAATCTTTGATGACCTAGTTTATTTCTTTTACTTTAAAGGTAATTCAAGTAATAAAAATAAATTTATTTAAATTTAAACATCGATAATCTTTAGGGCCAAGTCGAGAATGATAAATTTTAAATTTAGACGACGTCACAAAATAAATACATGTGGATTGCCCCCAAAAATAAAAGTTGCCCCTCCACCGGTGAACCCAAAGCTTATCCACTTGTCACTCCCTTGCATCGTCGCCGCCCAAGCTTACATCTCTGATCTTCCATACAATCTCAGAGACTGAGAGCAACAATTACAGAGAGCTCCAAAAATGGCCGCCTCGTTGGTCTCTTCAACCCTAACTCCCTCATCTGCCCCTCCATTCCCTCCCAAACCCCACAACCATTTTCTCTCTCCTCGTAGTTTTATGGCTTTTTCTAGAGAAGCCAAAACCTGGCACCACCAAAAGAGAAACATAGGCTTATCCATCAAAGCGCAAACTCTGGACTTCTCGGGAACGTTCTTTGAAGGAGGAGGATTCGGAGTAGACGATGACCCACCAACCACAGCCGGGTCGGTCATTTCGGCTGTTGAAGACAAAGAGGAGCCTCAGTGCCCACCTGGCCTTCGACAATATGAAACCATGGCCGTCTTCAGGCCCGACATGTCCGAAGACGAAAGACTTACTGTTACCCAGAAGTATGAAGAGGTACACATTCACATTCCTGTACACTCATGCTCCCATACATTGCATTATATTTGTCATTTATTCATGTTCATATTTTTGGGAGTAACTAATTCATAACAGAATTAGTTTACGAGATCCAACCCCTTTTCCAAAACCCAAAAAAATGGGTGGGGTGGGTTTGGCGAAAGATTCAATTGGGGTACAAAAGAGAAAGTGCAGGGGGAAATTGGGATATTAATAGCCTGTGTATCTATCATGTGTCCAGTGTGCAAAAATTGGTCTTTTGTACTTCAGTGTCATGTTGTGGAATCGGGCTACATTGCTTGCTTTTATACTCAATCAAACTCTATAGATACGAGTAGATAAGAAGACATTTAGATGTCATTGCAATGTATTTTGATTGGATTAGATGGCTTTAAGATGTAATTGCACTGTCTTTTTTTGTTTGGGAATATAAGATGTCAGAAAAAGTTATTTAAATGGTGTGTAGCAAAAAGAAAAAGAAAGAAATTTGGACCATCATGTGGCTGCAAATGATATGGGTAAATGAAAGCTCTCTTTTTCATTTGAATGTTCTCTTCACTTCAAAATACACTACGAGTAAGCATTCTCTGCTGGGCTAATTCCCCATATTTTAATGAGTGATTCGAGTTTTTTTATCTTATTCTGTTGCATCAATGATGTTTTTCAAAAAGAAAAATTTTGTTGAACATTTGTGGGAGAATAAATGCTTTTGGATGCAGATTGAAGCATGGGAGAGCTCTCTCCCCAGAAATTAGAGAGATAAGCCCTCCCTTCCCCAAGGCAGAGAACTTTTGGATGGGTTTTTTTTTATGCTTCTTTTATTTCAAAGAGGAAATCAGTGTATTTTGTATATAATATGTTTAACATAAGCATTAATTCATTATGAGGAATCCATGAAACCGAAGGAACATAATAAGGGCGGTCTATGAACAATTACATAGTAAGCTTGAACTAGCTGATGGGGTTTCTGATTGCTTGCCCAACTAGACATGTTGGAACCAAGCCTTCCAATTGCGCACAATTGTAATCATCCACCAATTTGATTGTAACTGTTGATCATGTCCATGCAATTTTGTACCTGAAAGCCATGTAGCCTTGACAAACTTCTTATATTTTTTCCAATCTTTTGAAGTTTGAATTTGAAGGCTCGTTTGAGATAAAATACACATATCTCAACTCCACAATTCTTTGCAAAATGTGTAGTGCTTTTGAATTTCGGAAGTACAATTGAAATTGTATCAAACGTGTAAAATTCAGAGTAAATTAATTTTCATTACCTGTTGATTTGCTGCCTTGCTTTTCAGTAAATGCCAGACCCGTAAAAAGATTCATCTTTTTATTTCCTTTCGTTTTTCCCTCCTTTTTTTGTGGGTTGGGGTAGGGGAGGGTGTGGAAACCGTGGGATTGCATGTCTCCTCTCGATTGATTAATTTTACTTTACTGTTCTATAGCACGAATTCTGCCCCATTGTCTGTTACCCATTCTCCGTCATGTGAAGGAATGACGGAAATGGATGATGCTAGTCGTACCATACACATAATTTCCTGGTCCTTATGGTGGATTAAATGGAAGTCATATTCAATTAGGATGTCTCAGGTATAGCTAGAAATGCCCTTTTATTAGATAGATTTGATCTTTACTCTCCCTGGTAAGACAAAGTGTCTTAGCAGTATGCACGCTTGCTCAGGCCCAGTTGTACCATAAATTGTAAAGTTGTCAAGAATGTCCAAGAATTTCCTGCTGAAATTCTGCTTCCTTTCATGCATCCAGTAGTTTAATGAAAGGCCTGAAACCCAATTCGGTGCTACGGCCCTGTTAATGTGTAATCATTTTGCAGTTGCTTGTTGCTGGGGGTGGCATGTATGTGGAGGTGTTCAATCGAGGGGTCATTCCGCTTGCCTACAGCATCAAGAAGAGGAACAAAGCAGGTGAGACCAATACTTATTTAGATGGCATCTACCTATTGTTCACTTACTTTACCAAACCTGAATCCATGGAAGTTCTCGAGGCAACACTGACAGTGGATGATAATGTTATTCGATCATCGAGTTTCAAAATAAGGAAAAGGAAGTACTAATTTTGTGTTAGTTTTTATCATTTGCATAGCTCTCTGTAAGCAAGGCAGATAGAAGGTACAGTTATATGATTTCTGGTGCTAGTGCTATGGTTTTTTTTTCCTTGGTAGAACTGTCATTAATTTTTGAATCTTTATTGGTCTATTTGTATGTGGCCAAGTTGCATTCGGATCGACACCTTTTGTTCTGAGACCGTTACACGTTCTGTTTAGACTACGAGCCTCACTCAACTAGTAGTTGACTCTCACGCGTTGTAACGACTTAGCCATAGTCATTCCAATCATTGTTATCGTAATCAAATCACAATATATTGACAAATAACATTCCGTGTCTGCATGATATAAGCTGTATTTTATTCCTATCAAAATTCTGCATTTTGTGCATATTATCCAATACCATTGGACCAACAGATGCATCTCGGTCTCTGAGCCTGTAACCTTGAACCATGCTATCCGGCCCAGTAGAGAATACTAGCAAGAGTCATTGATGTCAATTTTGACCTTCATAGGCATCTTTCCCTTATCAGTTATCAAGACTAAGCCTTCATACACTGGCCAGCTATTTAACACCACAAAACCGGCAAGGAACATCTGCCTAAACTGTTTTTCAAAGCTTGCAAACCTCCAGACCTGTACGATGCCTCGAAAAAAAGAGATCAAATTGATTATCGCAGCTGTTGTAATGGGCAAGAACACAGGGGACGTGACTCTGAACTCGAAAATCCGTTGTTCGTATTGCTTGTTTTGTTCATTCTCAACCTCCTTGCTTGTGACGTTGAATACAAACGTTGATGAGCCAAGGTACTTGAGTAAGCATTCTACTAACCCAAATGGAAAACTTGAAAGTCCCCAACCATCCACATTCTCTGATTGTTCCACCACCTTTGGGCTGTTCCTCCTGCTAACATGAAGTCGAGAAAATCTTTTCCATAGGCTCCGAGGAAAAGAAATGCATACATGTAAAACCAAGTGTCTAAGACCTGTAACAAACAACGGTTAAACAATATATTTGATATTTGATACAACTCAACTTGACTAAACAAAACATATTTCTAATTATTTGGGATCGAGCCTGTTCTTAGCAGCTCATACTTGATATGCAGCATAATCACACCTAGTTAAGTGAAAACAATTGATATTCATGCTTAGCAATTAGCATAAACTGCTGATGACTACTTGCACATACCTTTGGAAAGATATGGAAAGAGTTGAGGAGAGCTAGCTGGGGCAAGAAGGCATATATGATGATGGGAATACACCAAATGGACCAGAAAGAATAGTGTGGGCGTGGAAAGTGTTCATTGGGCTATGCTTACAAAAGCCCACATCAAGTAGGCCCATGGACCACCGTCTACTTTGATTCAGCAAATCATTCAGGGTGATGGGCGCATCCCCCAAAAATGCGGGTCTAGTAGGGTTGCAGAAAACTTGGCAATGCAGCATATAACCAGTGTACAAGTCCTCAACCAAGGATCCACACCTAAAACCCACCTACACAAGTTGGAACTGATGGGACTTTTCTGAAATACCCTATGATGAAAACACGTGTCTTCGGTATTACTAAAACACTGTTGCTAAGATCAAGCATCATCGGCTCACAAGGCCCTCTCCCCGAGGTACTCGGCATATAGGATCACGAATTCATTATGTTTTGCACCGACACGTGGCCTCGGTCTGATACGGTACCTCGGTCGGTGCCCTACCTCGGTGCCGAGATGATCCTTCCCTCGGTGCCGAGGTGCACCGTCCAGGACACCTCCTCTACTCCAGGATAAGCTATTGACGTACATGTCATTAACCTAGGTTATTCATCATAACCTCGTCTTACACAAGTAATGTCAGAACGTACTAGAATGCAGAGGTCACAGCCAATAGGGGTGGACGCGTGGCATATGATATCACATCGAAGACAGACAAATCGCATGTCGCTGCTGACACGCGACTTGAGAAAGCAAACAATTAATTGCATCATTCCCTTGATGAGACCGCATTCAATGCGGTAAGGTTCGGAAATGAAAGACAATAAATGCTCCTGAGACAGAGCATTTATTGCATCCTCCCCGAGAGGAGCACATTGTACCGTCGGCATCCCAATGACCCAGCATTGATTGCTCAGGACCCCGAGCAGTTAATTAGAAAAGAAATTTCTCAACATGATCAATGCACACGCTACCTGCACCTAATGATCACCTACTGACCACACTGACAGCAATCATGAGCTTTTGAGGTATAAATACTCCTTGCAAAAGGCAAGACGGGTATGCAATCACAAACTCTTTACTACAATACACACTCAGTGTTTTCTCCTTCCTCTCTCTCACTCAAAGACTGACTAGACATTCGGACGGGATACGCCGGAAAACACTCTGGCGCCCTTCTAACTCGTTCTTCTTTGTTCCAGGAACCCCTTTCAGCCTTACCGGATCCGTCTCCAGCTCCCCAGGGTCTCCCGTTGCCGTTCCAGGCTACCACCGGACCTCGCAGGCTGTTCCAGGCAGCGTGGTTGGTCATTCAACGGGCTCACTTGAAGTTCACCAGGGGAGAGATCTGTTCTCGTTTTTTATATTGTGCAGGATCTTGCACGCACAATCTGGCGCCGTCTGTGGGAAACGACTAGTTTTCCTAGTTTTCTCTCTATAAAAGAACAGTGACCATGGTGAATACTCGACAGAAAGGGAAAGGACCCCACCAAAGGAGTCTCGAGTTACAAGCTCCCTGTCATCACGGAGGGAGGGATCACACCAATACGAATAAAAGTGTCTCTACTCGGTCAAGAGGGGTTACCCCTCAAACCAGTATGAGAATCAGGTCAGGGGGATCAGCCCCCTTGGCTCGTCAGTTGGCGGAGGTGATTGAAGAAAAATTTGGCGATAGATTACGTCAGCTAGAGAAGGACAATGTAAACGTCCTTAGCCGGCTCGACGAGTTTGCCGCCTCAGGCGGAGGGTCAAGGGATTCATTCCTTTCCCGTGGACTTCCCTCCCGGGAGGCGGAAACGAAGGATATAAGAAATCACCTAGACCACAAAGCAGAAAGCTCTAGGGCCCCAAAGCGACCCAGAGCCGGTGAACATCATCATGACAACCATTCCAGGAAAGCAAGGCCATTGGCCCTGGACGACCTCCGGCGAGGTTTGTCTAGACGGAGGAAGGGAGATGAATCGGAGGAGGACTCAACCCAATCCACACGACGCCCAGGAAATGAGGGGCTTACCGATGAACTCAGGGACTTCAGAAGGCATCCCGTCAGGGAAGAAATTGATCTCAGAGCCCGATTAGATTCCAGGAGAAAGGGTAAGACTGTCCAGGATGAGGCCGAGGACGAAGTCATACAAACACCCTTCACAAGGGAAATCAGTGAGATGGAGGTCTCAAGAAAGTTCGTCGTGCCACGGTTCAAAACCTATGACGGGCGGTCCGACCCCGAAGCCCATATCAGGCAATACAAGCAGATGATGTCCCTCTATCATTCGGACCAACGGTTTCTCTGCCGAGTGTTCCCTATGAGCTTGGGGGACTCTGCGATGAAATGGTTCGAGACGCTTCCCCAAACAGTATTGGGTCCTGGAAGGAATTGACTAGCCAGTTCCTGGCTCGATTCATTACGGGGAGTAAGCGCCCCAAAGACATTGGATCATTGTTGACCCTCAGACGGAGGGAATCCGAGACTCTTCGCCAGTACGTCATCCGATACTAGGAAGAGGTCAATGAGGTAGAAGGCTGCTCGGAGGTCATGGCGGCGGCATCTTTCAGGCTCGGCTTGGCGAGGGACACGGACCTGTACCGATCCCTGACCAAGAAGACTCCCTCGGATATGGGGGAACTGATGGCCGGATAAACAAGTACTTGAGGGTTGAGGACGAGATGGGAAGCAACAAAGGCCGAGCCCTCCAGTCTAAGAGAAAGGAGAAGGAGCGCGAAGATATTCCCCGAAAGGGATTGCTACCCCATCCAGGGGGTTCGTCCAGAGGAGTTCACACTGTTTTCAAGGAACCCATCTTCAAGTTGCTCCATAAAATCAAGCACGAGCCGTTCTTCAAATGGCCGCCCAGGATGCAGGGGACCCCTCCACCCGTGATCAAAAGGTTAGGTGTTCCTATCACCGGGATTTCGGCCATCGCACCGAAAGCTGTAGGGTGTTCAAATCGTTCTTGGAAAGCTTGGTCCGAGACGGACATTTGAAAGAGTACATAGAGCCCAGGCCAGAAGAGAGACGAGCCCTTGCCCCGACCGAGGAGCCGAACAACATCATAGATGTCATCCATATGTCCCCTGGAGCGCCCCACGTCCAAAGAGCTTGAGTCCGACCTCAAGAGGGTAGCTTTTACAAGGAAGGTAGCCGAGGGTGATGTGGGGCCATCAAGTAAAAGGGCCAGGATGGGTGATCTTGGCATTACGTTCTCCGACGCGGATTTGACAGGTGTGGTGATTCCTCATAACGACGCCCTTGTCTTGACCCTGAAGATAGGGAAATTCGATGTCAAGAGGATTTTGATAGACTCAGGAAGCTCCTCAGAGGTGATGTACTTCAAAACTCTGAAACGGATGGTCTTGGCCCCAAAGACCTCACCAAAGTCAGGACACCCCTCATCGGGTTCAACGGCTCATTCGTCTTGCCCGTGGGGAAAATCACTTTGCCAGTTACCACTGGTCCCTTTATCATCGACACCGAGTTTGTGGTGATCGATACGGACTCTCCCTACAACGTGATTATGGGCGAACATGGCTGCATGCGTTGGGAGCGGTGCACTCCACTTTCCACCAGAAGTTAAAATTCGCCACGCCAGAGGGTATCATGGAGATCCGGGGGGACCAAGCGTCCGCGAAGAACTGTTTTTATTCGGCCGTCCGAGCCGGGGCGTCCAGCCAGGAGAAGGGGCGAGCACCGGAAGAGATTATGAAAAAATAGCAATTACAGTCCGGGCGTCCAGGAATGGATGACCCTCGGATAGACCCGACTGAACGGTCGGTTGAAGACCTCCGGAAGGTGCCCTTGGTAGAGGGAGAAGAAGAGAGGTATTTCTTAGTGGGGACCTCGATGCCTACAGCCGAACAGGAGGAGATGATCGAGTTCCTAAAGGGAAATACAGACGTGTTCGCCTGGAACGAGATGGAAATAACGGGGTAGACCCCGAGATAATCACTCACAGGCTGCATGTTGACCCGTCGCACAAGCCAGTCAAACAGAGGCCACGACGCATGGCCCCGCATCACACCAACGCGGTCAACGAGGAAATCGACAAACTCCTGAAGGCCGATGCCATTCGAGAGATACAGTTCCCAGAATGGCTGTCCAATACGGTATGCGCAAAGAAGAAAGGGGGGAAATGGCGTGTCTGCGTAGATTTTACAGATCTAAACAAGGCATGTCCCAATGATGACTACCCCCTGCCAAAGGTGGACCAGCTGGTGGATGCCACAGCCGGATATGAACGAATGGACTTCCTGGATGCCCAAACAGGATATCATCAGATCCCTCTCTATGCCCCGGATCAAGAAAAGACGGCGTTTATTACTCCGAAGGGAGTTTATTGTTACAAAGTGATGCCGTTTGGACTGAAGAATGCCGGGGCAACATACCAAAGACTGATGAATCGGATGTTCAAAAAGCAGATCGGCAACACCATGGCGATATGCTGGTGAAGAGCAAACGGAGTTGCGATCATTTGACAGATTTGGCGGATACCTTCTCCACCCTCAGGGAGTATGGGCTGAAGCTGAATGTGGCGAAGTGCGTTTTCGGAGTGGAGCCAGGTAAATTCCTCGGATATCTGGTTAGTCAACGAGGAATCGAAGCCAACCCGGATCAGATTAAAGCAATCCTGGACATCCGAAGCCCTCGCACTGTCCGAGAAGTCCAGAAACTCACAGGGATGCTGGCTGCACTTAACCGTTTCGTCTCACGCTCCTCGGATAAATGCAAACCCTTTTTGGAGCAATCAAGAGTGCTGGGAAGAATATGTGGAGCCAGGGGTGCGAGGACGCCCTGACTGGATCAAAGAATACCTAAGGACTCTTCCAACCCTGTCCGTCCCCATCCAGGGGGAGATGATGTTCCTGTACCTGGCAGTTTCTGAGTTCGCGGTAAGCGGGGTACTTATCCGTGAGCATGAACACCGCCAGAAGCCAATTTACTATATAAGCAAGGCGCTCCTGGATGCCGAGACAAGATATCTACCCTGGAGAAACTGGCTCTATCCTTGGTCACCACCGCAAGGAAACTGCGGCATTATTTCCAGGCGCACCCAATCACTGTCCTGACCGATCAGCCCTTGAAAGCAATCTTGAGAAAGGCGGAACTCTCCGGAAGGATTTCCAAGTGGGCAGTGGAGTTGGGGGAGC